TTCCAATTAAAGGCTTTGGAGGGGTCTAGAATTTTTTTATTATGGTAACAGAATTTTTACTGGGGAAGAAAAACAGGTAGACTAGTGAAGTTTCTCATGTTTCTTTTTTCCCTTCTATGTATTTGAGTGGGCTGTAGCAAAATGGGTTCCATTCTTGTGAAGTGACAAGTGCCTTTTCCTTTAAGTGACAAAACAACTGTGGATTCTTAATGCAGGTGAAGTAAAAAGGGATGTAAAAGTACAATCTAGTTTGAAATACATGTAGTTATTTAGTAATAGTGTCTGAATCTTGGCATTAGGTAAACTGATCCTGTTTGTTAAGTGTTCTGAACTGTTTAGGTTGAGCAGAGGGTGGAGAAATAGCAAACTGATGCTCAAGTTTGGAGTTTATGAAGCTCTTTATAAACAAATGCCTTGAAGTGCTCGGTTTTGGGGGACCAGCCAAGAATGACACAACAGTATGCAGGTTTCTCTACAGCAGGAGGCCTTAATTAACCTGGAGAAATTATTATCTAAACAGGTGAAGCAAGGAAAGGCTGAAATAGTTGGTGAGCTTAGGGTTAGATTTCTTATGTTGGGGGTGGTATGGTTTGATTTGTCCTGTGGCCAAGTACAAATCTTCAGAACTCTAAATCAAAACAGCTTTTTAGTAACCACTATGGTTTGATTTGTAGATCTTGCTATGCTTCATGTGGCCAGCCTGTCTGTTAGTGTAACCTTCCTTTCTTGGTCTGCAGAGCATCTTTTACTAGCACCACAAAGCTCCTATTGTGCATATGGCTTTGTGTAACCTGTTATAAATAATCCAGTTATCAAGTCAATGGCTTAATCCTTATCTTTTAAAGCAGATGAAGCAAGTAATTACTTCTAATTTCTTAAAGATGAAAGACTGCCTGAAAAAAGTTTATGCTCTGACCTGGGCTCTGTCTAGCACTTCATTTCAAAGCAGAATGAACTCTAACCAGAACACCCTCTGTGCCAGTGTGCCCCCCCTCCCCCCAAAAAAATCTCAGAAGGGTTTTTTATAGTTTATGACGCCACACAAAGTGCAACATGGTGTTATTAAACCTGAGGGTAAAATGACAGATTGAAATTAAACAGATTGATTGACTGCCACTGACTAGACTGCTTCTTTTCCTGTCAGAGGAGGTTAAACCTTGTTTGGGTACAGTTTACTTCCCAGCAAGTAAAGAGCAATATGGGAGAGGAGCAAATACTTACTACAGAATTAGGTGACTTGTCTGGACACTTATTCAGTTCATGCTCTTCAGCAGATGCATTAAGACTTCTAGCCTTAAGTTTACATTCCCTTAAACTGAAGGGAATTGAATAATGTTTTAAAAATAACTGCAGTCTTTACAGGTTCTCCTACTCTGTTACTTTTTTATGAGAAGTGGTTGGATTTCTCAAGACTTCCTTTTCTGTAAGGAACAGATGAGTTAATGTCAGTGTCTTGACTGCCTCAAGGATGCTTAGCCTACAGAAGGGGACAAAAATTCATCCTTGCCTAGTCAGATGACTGAGGAAAGAGCTTCCACTTGTGTTAATTGATATTTTTTTTAAGTTTTTCTAGCCTCAGGGAACTGTTAGATGTTAGCTTTGAACCATGGTGTGTAAACTGTTTCTTGGGCTGCAGAGGTGGAAATGCAAGTAAACAAACAGTTGGCTCCAATGACTTGTCTTGTTTTATTAGAGTATTCCTATTAAAATTTCACCATGCCCCTTTCTGAACCAGTGATGTGCTATTAGCCTATTGTCTTGTAAACACTGGTACTTCTGCACTGATACTCCCTGTGTCAATCCTGTCCCACACTGTTTCAGCCTTGCCTTGTTCTGTACTGCCTGGTTATTCTGGGGCTGGAGGGGGCCGTGCTCCCTCTGTTGCCACCAAAGAAGAGATGCCTTGTGTCAAGCCTCTGGGATTTCAATGAGGGCGTACAACATAGGGGTTGTGTTGTGAGCGGACTCCTGTGTTCAGAGGGTTCATATAGTGTTGATACTCTAAAAGATTCAAGTGGCACTTGTAACAGCTCTGCAGGGAGAGCGGCATCTAAAGCTGGCCTAGCTTTAGATGCAATCAACCTGTAAATTTGTATGCTTATAGATGGGTTTTGTTTAATACTGTACTCTGGTTACAAGTCAGGTAATACTGTGTATGAAGGCTGATCTTTCAGTTTCTACTGGCTGGTGTTGAGGTGGGATGGAAAAGAAAGAATTTAAGTATTCTCTCCACTTATCTCTATGATGAGCTTGTACCGAATCAAATTGGTCAGTATTTTACCTAAAAGGCAGCTAGTCCTTTCATATGACCCAGTAAAGACATGGTATCCCTATTGACAGGAGGGAGAATGTTGCTATCTTCTCTCTTCACTGTTAGTAAATCATCTTTTTATTGTAGTTGTATAGCACAGCAGACTTACAGCAGCTTAACAGGGAGCAGCACTAAGTTTGTGCTGCCAGAAAAATATTTAACTTGAGAGCCTTGTATTAGATAACACAGCAGTTACAACAGCCTTAGGATGCTTGTCAAAGGAATACTCAAAGGTTAAAACCAACCACAGTTACATTGAAAAGTTGCTAAGGGTCACTTGGCTTCTTCAGAAAGCAGCTTATCTACTAGCCAGACTAGTCTTGAAGTAAGACAAAGTAAGCTTCTACAACTTGTTAAGAGCAAGCTGTGTTATTACTGGAACACTTAAAGTCCCCAAACTATCTCATTGTGTAGTCAAGCTGTAGCTCTTACACCTTGGGTGTCTATGTCCAAGCAAGCTGAATTCTAGTTTATCATCTGTAGAACATGTGGACCATAAGCAAAAAAAGCCTTTCAGCAACAGCTTCTGGAGCTCAGGTGCTACCTGTTGTGTTTTCTCCCAATTTTTCCACACTGTCCTGGAAGGGAGCTCTGTTCTCTTCCCCCTCTTGTCTCTCTGGTGGCTACAAGCTGAAAATCAAGCTTGCAGTCCTCTTCTACTTTGGAATCTCTAGGGTGATGGCTGAATCAACTGTCCCCAACACAAATGTGTGTTTGTGCTCTACAGGGAGAATCTCTGAGTAGTAGGAGTTGTCACATCCCACTTCTGTACTAAGGAGTGTCCTGGATGAGAGTGCTGATGTATAACCTGTAATATACCTGTATCTGTAATATAGACAGATTTTCCTTTGGTAATCTTCACTTACCAGTGTTTATCCCAGAATGAACACTTAAAGATGATGAATTTGTGTTACTGTACTGAATGTGTTTAGCAAACAGGTGTGAGTAAAATAATGATGCTCATGTGTTTGAAAATGCTGTCCTGAGGACACATCTTGATTGTTGTCATGTTTGTTATTGTATGCAGTAGTCAATGAGAACTTAGTTTGATTTGTCACTTTTCAGAACATCAAGTCATGACAAGGGAGATGAGATCTTCACAATCGTTGTACCCCAGGGCAGGTTGCCCACACTGGTCATGGAATTGTCAGCCTCAAAATGCAGGTCACATAAGGCAGTTTGCTCCAAGCAATCCAGTTTAAGGGAGAAGTTTGGACTGGACAACATCCAAAGGTCCTTTCCAGGATAAATAATCTTATAGCATGTTTGTAGGTTGGCAATCCCTCAGTCTCTACTTCATTTTGTTTAGGGCAGATAGGTATCCTGAAGGCTTGTTCCCATATAGTACTGTAACTACTACTGGATGGAAATACAAGGCCTACGGTAGAACTTGATGGTGTTGTGTCAGTTCCAGTGTCTTTCTGGAGTAATCATCCCCAGGCAAATCTAAGACTCCTGGTTGGCCTGTTGCTTCTGGAATAATAGTGCTGCTGTAAATCAAGGCTGGTATAGCCACTTTCCATAGTGGTGTTCCCTGAATGGTCTGCTGTTCTCCTTACAGCATTCTGCCAGGATATCAACAACTGGGGCCCTCAGTTGTCCTGCTGTGAGGACCCAAGTGTTGCTATCTTAGCATCTCCCTTTAGCCATCATGCATCTGGAGTACTCTTCTCTGTTTTTTCTCACTGTTGGAATCCTGACTGACACATCTCTTCTTGTACTGGTCACTCCTGCATTTGTCCCCAGTGTGCTCTTAGAGCTGCTGCCCTGTGCTAATTAGGGTGTGGGAGCTGATGCTCGTGTTTCTGTCACAACTACTGTGTCCAGCTACACCTTAAAAAAACCAAAAAGCAGTATTTTTTAAGTGGTCTCCAGCACTTAATTACTCGGTTTGCATAACACACAAACTAAGGCTTGTTAACTAGTACTTGTTTATTGAAGCTTACTCTTTTATGCCTTTGCAACATCAGGAGAAGAATAGGAACTGAGTTTCTTACAGTAAAGGAGGCTTTTATATTTTTTTCCCAAAAGCAAATTAGATTTGCAGCATCAAAAGGCAGGAAGATTATGAAGTAAATGCTAATGCCATGTCATAAGACTTTCTGCTGGAAGCTTTTGCAACTTGTTCCTGCCAGAATTTACTGTGTATCTCTGCTTTTTTCTTAGCCTACGTAGAGAGGAGATCAAAAGTCATCTTTCTGCCTATAAGCAGATCTGAGGTATAGCTGTGCTTCCAGGTTGAAGCTAAGCTGCATCAACATTAAAGAAATATTTTAGAAAGGTGTAAAGCCTTTTATAACAAGTACAATAAAATGCTTAATTTCATGTTGTTTGAGAAAGTGGGGAATTTCTTTTTCTGTGGAGACTGCTTTAGATAGCAGTCATGTAGGATGGGCTTACAAATAAGAACAGCTTGTTCAGCTAGTAACTGCTTTGAGAAACCTTTGGTACTCTTATTAATGGTACTGTTGTCACAAATACCTTTTACTTGTTCTAATAATACCTTGTTCCTACTCGTGCTTTAGACATCAGTGACGTGGTTTGCTTGCCAGTGCATTGAAATGGCCCATTCTTCAGGCTTGCTGGGCAGGGTTTTAATCTAGTCTTTCAGCACTAGTGAGATGCTTTAACCGCATTCTACCATGATGTCACCAGTGTCACGGATGGTGACTGTGTTTCTTCTGTCTGCAGATCTAATTGGTTGCCTGGCACTTCATCTGGGGCAAGCAGGACAATGGCTGCCAGCAAGAGCAAGAACCAGAGTTCCTTGGCCCTCCATAAAGTAATTATGGTTGGCAGTGGAGGTGTGGGCAAATCTGCACTCACTCTTCAATTTATGTATGATGAGGTAAGTAGCTTTGGTTCAGCTTCTCTAAAGCACCAATGGATACAGTTTATTAAACTGTAGTGGAATGGCTGAACTAAGTGTAAGTAGCAAAAGAACTGATGACCTGACTGGCGGGAGAAAAGTGTAGGAATTGGGGGAGGGAACATCTTTGGCTAAGGGTGACGAAGTTGATGCTTATTAGTGAAAGAACAGTCTTTGAAAGACATGCAGAATGTGAATGTGCTTGTCTGAGTGTACAAAGGTTGTTACCTGTTGGCACTGAGCTTCAATTTTGTTGCAGTTTCTTTTAGGCCAGTTAAGGTTGAAGTCAAAAGTAAGCATTCTAGCTCATTCTGAGCTGAATGTTGAAGTAGGCATGTTCATAGCATGAATTCTTCTGTACTGGTATACAGGAAGCTAGATCAGACAATCCAGACTAGTATATGAAGGAATACATGATCCTGTAATTCAAAAGTTAGTATTTATCTATAGGCTGTTCTCACATACTATAGTAATGTGAATATCTGAACAGATAGTCACATTAATAGGGCTTATGGCACAGCCTTTTGTTGTTCTTTGAGGCTGAGGTAAGGAGCCTGTATTGAACGTGTGCTGTCTGCATAGAACTACAGGTTGAACTGACGATGGTTTTGTGTGTCTGATGTACTAAAGTATGTGCCTGTGTAATTATGGAACAGGTTTTAATATTCAACAGCTGGATGCTGTCATCTACACCTGTTGAAGTTTCAGATAGCAGTACCTGAAGTACACTGAAATTCTTTTTCTTCAAGTGAAAGATCTAGATAATGCCACCAGGTTGCTGGTAGTTTGTACTGTATTTTTTGTCCTTTAAATTGTGCTGAAATTGCTGAACAGTGTTTCATGTAGCAAGACAGTTTCTCTTGACTAGGCAGACTGGCTCTTTGATGTATTAAGTGCTTAAATAATTTGCTTTTTATAGTAAAACTAAAAAAAGCAGTGAAACTTAGTAGTTGACTGAATTATGAGAAGGTTTTTGGGAGTTTAAATGCCACTGAAGTGAAAGAAAATGGATATGGACAAATACTGATACCATTTGACAGTAATTCTAAACACTAATCCCTTATCTTCAGTTTGTAGAAGACTATGAACCTACCAAGGCTGACAGCTACAGAAAGAAAGTAGTTCTGGATGGTGAAGAAGTTCAGATAGACATTCTGGACACAGCGGGACAGGAGGATTACGCAGCTATCAGAGACAACTATTTCCGCAGCGGGGAAGGGTTTCTTCTAGTCTTCTCAATAACAGAGCATGAATCCTTTACAGCAACAGCAGAGTTTCGGTAAGTAGTTTCTCTCACGGGCAGGAGGAAATATCTGGTTCCTATGTTGCTCTGATAACCCTTCCTAAAAGCTACAGTTCTTTATCTTTTGTCCATTACCATTTGTCAATAAAAGTGGAAATCCAACCATTTTGCTCTCAGTAACTGGTAACTTAAACCACAGTAGCCAGTTTCTGGCTCTAGTTGTCTTCATGCCTTCAACTTATGAGCACATTATGCCTGCAGCAACTTCAGGCAAATAACAGGTTCTTGGACTCTTGAAACATGCGTATTCAAGCCAATTTTCAGTCTTTGTGGATATGAAGTTTAATTATCTTAAAGCAGTACTTCTGGAATTAAGTCTGCCTTTTGGCCAGGTTTCAGACACTGTATTGCTTACTGCTCAAAGCAGGTGCTCTAAGGAAAGGAAGGATTAGCCTCCACTCTCAGGTATGGATTGGTGCCAAACAAGGGTTGGCAGCCAAGCAGTACTATTGTAGGCAGTTATATTCCTAGAAAGACACACAGTAGTAGTAAATGCTTCCATTTTTGTTCTTGGGATTAGCTGTTCCAATATAAAAATCAGCACAAGAGCAAGCACAGGAACTACTTGTGTAGTGTAAAAGGAAAAAAAGGGGTTTAAACCATTGCTCTGGTCTCAGAACTTATGTAGCCAGGTTCTTCAGGGTAAGTGTTCTAACTCTTTATTTGATAGTAGCTGTTGTCTCAGTGTAGAAGGTAATCCAGAGATTCCCTAGGACAGCTGTAAAACTTGAAGTAACACTTTCTCTATGTTTTGGCAAGTTTTAGGAGTTCCTTATGTTTGCCAGAATAAAAGCTCTTTATCAGTCTGGCCTATGTTCCCTTTGCTTCAGTGGTACAAGGTTAATGGAGTAATTAGTGGTGCAAGTGCTGGTGCTAAGGTAGATGCCTATTTCTAGGGTTTTCTTAAAGCTATGGCAAACTCCCCTCATGCTCTAGGACTTTGGTCCAGGTTCTTGGTCTATTACACTGTTCCAACAGTAGTAGGAGACTGCATAATCTTTTAAGAGGTATAAATATTGTTCTTCTGTCACATAATACTTCTGGGGCTTTGCTAGACTTCAGAAGGCTGACAGTTGCGGGGCACACAAGCAGAGCTGTTCAGCTCAGTTTGCTCTAAGCAGAGCACTTAACAGGAGCTAAACAGTTGAATTGTGATAGTACTGCAGAACTGAGTACTCGAACTGTTCCTAATATAAAATGGAGGAAAAAGTCAGCTATTGCTCACAAACCAGGAGGAAAATGAGACACTTGAAAGTACGCAGCCTGGGTTTTGGCTTGTGTGCGTAAGTAAAATATAAGGTTAAACCCAAGGCTTAAGGCTTTGGATGAAAAGTTGTTGGAGTGTTTATCTTGGCAGTTTGTGGGGTTTTTTTTGTCAGACTTCTGTAACTAGGCTAACTGTGTGTTGGTTCAAGATTCCAGCACAACAAAACAATGAGAAAGCAAAGCTAGCCCTAGAAGAACCTAAGAGCTTTTAGGTGGAGAGTGTCCTACTTTTCAATGGTTCAGAAGTAAACAAATAGTGAAATTAGTTAGGCTGACAAGCAAGGACCAACTCCATGGAAAACTGTTCCCCAGGAAGGAGGGGAGAACGGGTAGTATGAGTCATCAGCATCACAGACTAAACTGCAGGTTGGTATTATTGATCCTCTAGCTTCCAGTATTCTCAAACTATGAGAAAGTTGAATACTGAACGAACTATGGGTTTGTCTATAAACCCTAGCTCTCCTGCTGATGCTATGTATTCAGTGTTTGCTTTTGGTGCCTCTGTAATCTGAAAATGTGTGAAAGTACAGCTGAATTCAACAGCAGATTGCCTGCTTCAGTGTTAACACTTTTAGATTCTCATGTACTCTACATACATCCAGTTGTTTTGTGGATGGACTGTGCAGCCATCTGAAGCAGTGTGGTTACTCAGTGGCCTGAGGGGGTGTAGCACCATGTCCATGTGTAGTTTGGCTCTTGTTCATAAACAAAATTAAGTAATCTAAAAATAACTTTAGGATGGGTATGGTTCTTCTAGCATCCTAGATGGACAGCAGCATGTGTCAGTCTGGTTTCAACCTGTGTTTTACTCTAATAATAGCACAGTTTTTTTTGAGACTGACATGCGGCATATGTCAGCTCCTGGATGCTGATAGGTCCCTTTAGAATGACAAAGGATGGCTAGTTTAGTGCTGATGGTTCAAATATTTTCCTGGAGTCTTTGAAGGAGGAAGGTTGCTAGCATTCTAATTCAGCACTGTTCAGTAACTATCCTTTGTGTGAAGTTTAGGTAGCTGTATGAATGATGTCTGCCAGCTACTTATGCTATTCCTAACCTCCTGTTTTGGCAAAGCCTTGATGTTGCCCAGACCTGTATTGATGTGGAACATAGACTGGAAATTTAGGATTGTGACTGAATGCAAATGTGAAACTTGTGCTCTTTTCCTCATTCAGACATAAACTCCTGTTGTGAGTTGCACTTCTGCCATACAGCTCTTCTTTATTAGAGCCTAGTTAGTAAAAATACTAAATGGTAAAACTGCCTTCTTGGAAGTGTGAGGCTTTTATTAGTGTAAAGCCCATAGCATTAGCATGTTAAATTTGAAGTAATTTTAAAGTGTGTGTTCAACTGTTGGGAAATGTACTCTTAAATACTGTTGTAAACACTAGTAATGTGCAGACCACTTGATCTGCTCCTGATAAGGGTGAGGTTTTTGTTGTTACTACTAACACAGATATTTTCATTTTCAATACCTGATGCATTAGGGAACAGATCCTGCGTGTGAAGGCTGAAGAGGATAAAATCCCTTTACTGGTAGTGGGAAACAAATCTGACTTGGAAGAGCGCAGACAAGTGCCTGTAGAAGAGGCTAGAAGTAAGGCAGAGGAGTGGGGTGTGCAGTACGTAGAAACCTCTGCCAAAACTAGGGCGAATGTAGATAAGGTAAGACGAATGACATCTGCTCAATTAGATCATTATTACTTGTTTAATAGCTGAGTAACTAATTCTTCACTCTTGCTAGAACAAAAGCAAATCCACAGTTGGGCTTCTGAAAGCATAGATTATCAAAATGAATGAACTTGCTGGAATACGTACACTTAAGCAAATACCTAGCTTAGAGGAGCCAGAGACCTGGTACAAGTTAATGTTATTTTCTTGTTTTAACTGTTTGTACCTGAACCAATAGTTTTCCAATAGTACATTGGGTAAACGGGTTTAAGGATTCCCTGAAATATGTTATTTTTTTTATAGGCTATGTTTTATTATAACAGCAGTAAATAGCAAGCTATAGACACTTAGGAGTTGTTCTCCCTTTGCTACAAAACTACATATGGTGTGGCTAATGTTAAAGACTTCATGCTTTGTTTTCTGCCAAGACTATTTTGAATCATGACAAGAACTTTTCTTTCTCTGTCCCTGTCCTGTTTTGACTTGTCCATGTCTGTCTACAACAGTCATTCTCAGCATGTTTCTGTGGCTGGTTTCTTGCATAAGGAGCAGTGGGAGGTTATTCCAGAAGAAATGATTATGAAGTGTTTGCCCAGTAGGGAAAAATCAGTTTTAAGCCTCCCCTTCATTCTGTGTGTAGTGGGGGCTTCTTGAAGAAGAGGATGTTTTTTACTTCAGAAATCTGTAGAAGATGGTCTGAAATTACTGTTGGGCCCCCTAAGGACTCAAAGGTGTGGCTTGGTAATCTGCATTTGTTTAAAGATTACAAATTGTAAGCAGTTTTCTCTTTTTGGCCAAAGATACTTGCAGCTGGCTGTACTCTTAAGTTCTTGTAGACAGCTTCCTGTTCTTCTAGCCTGTATTAGTTTACTAATGGAAATGCTGTTGGTGCATAAGTTATCTAGTACAAACTCATTTGTCATTCTTGGTTAAAGCAGTTCATATGAAACTCTTGACTTGAGACCTTTTGGTTATAAAGGACATGGTATGATTTAAATTTGGTAAAGAACCATTCTGATTTGTGGAATGTGACTAGAAGGTCAGATTGTCAGGTGTATAAACTGGGTGGTGTAGTAAAACATGAATACTTAGACTTGCTTTTGCCTATAAGCTGTCTCATATGACCAGAAAATGCTTAGCCTGTTTTATACTTAAACTAGTTTTCTCATCTATTGGGTTTAACAGCAATGTAGGTGTGTCTGGAGTGTGCTAGCATGGTGTTCTAGACTTGCTTTCATAGGTCCTCTCTAGCTAGGTTATGTGATGTACTTGTTATTCTCTATAAGCACTGTTTTGTGTATCTTAAGACACTATCAGCCATTGTGATGATTGTGCATTGACACTGTAGCACAATAATAAAAACCACCTTAAGAGGGTTTTGAATGATAAGCTATTCTATTTCTGATCAGTAGAGTGGTCTTGTTTCCAAGTATCAAAGACCTGTGTGGTTCCCCATGTAAAACAAGCCTGACTCTATAGAGTGACACTAAGCTCTTGTTCTGTAATCCTAAAAAGAATTTTTCTCAATAACTCTCTACAGTAAAACAACTGTTGTATCTTAAGTGATACATACCTAGACATCAGGTGTACAGGGTAGAAATCAGCTGGAGTGTTGCAGAAAACATCAGAGTAATGACCTCTGAATCTTGTAATATAGTCTGGGAATTTTCTGTGCCTGACAATCACTTGAATGTTGCAGCTTTTTAATTATAAACCAGGCAGAATACTACTCGGCAAACAGTGTGTTTGTAACTACGTGGAAAGGACTGGACTAAATGCTTTGCGTAGTTAGCAAGAGGGATTTGCCTGGAAATGTTTGCTAGGCACAGGCAAATGTTCTCATGAACTCTGAATGCTACTTTTGTGCAAGACTGTTATTCAATAAAAGCTCTTAAAATGGGGCTGTTAAATGATTTGGTAGCCAGGTGAGATTGTCCTCCTTCTTGCCACTGCTTGACATGCTACATGATTCTGATGTTGTTTGTCACTGCAATTTATGTCTAAACTTGCTTCTTCTGTATTAAGTACAGTATGGTGCTGCATCTTTATTTGCTGCTGAATACATAGTTTTACCTGTTTTCTGGTGGCAGATCTTATTTAATGTGTCCTTATTTTTCCCTCCTAGGTATTCTTTGATTTAATGAGAGAAATCAGAGCAAAGAAAATGTCAGAAAACAAAGACAAGAATGGCAAGAAAAGTGGCAAGAACAAGAAAAGCTTTAAAGAAAGATGTTGCTTACTGTGATGCTTGGGAACTGTAAATATCTATCTACAGGTGGCATGGATAAGATACCACTAAGGATATAGGGCTGGATTCATGAAAGGAAGTCTGTATTGACTCCCTTATCTTTTGCTTTGCATATCACACCTTCAAAATGTGAAAACAGAACTTCGAAACCGTTTCTGGTATCCAACAAAACCTATGCCTACTTAAACTGAAATGGGGTCCGTCTTCCCAGTGTCTTTCAGAACTACAGTCCTTCTGCTTGGTTATATAAAGTACGTTCGTATTAACTTCCTAGTTTACTCTAATGTTTCTCTTGAACCTCTTCTGGCCTTAACAAGCACAGCTGTTCAGGTTCAAACTTTTTTTCCCCACTGTTGCTGCCCTCCTTGATGGTTCAAACTGCAGAAAAGTTAGATGACATCTGCTAAGGGTTTTTGTCTCCATCTTCTGTTAGATGTCACTGATATTTCTTACACTGAAATCTGCTGGCTTCCTTCCCACACTCCATGTAAGAAATAGCAACTGACACTTGAGTCAACTCAAAACAAACTTCCTTCCATGTTCTGTTAAGTCAATACAGCATTCATGAATCAAGCCTATGGACTCAATTCAGACTTATTTAGGCAATGCAAAAATTGATATTTAAATACTGGCTAGATGTATTCCCCGCTGGTCTGTCTTCTCATCCTTAAATCAGTGGTATAGGGTGAGAAAATGACTGTAATCCTTTTGAAGAAAGGAATATTATCACCATCTCCTTTAAAGGCTGTCCTGGGTTTCTTCCATGTATTGTGGCTAGACTCAATCACACTCACTCTACATCCATCATCCTTCCCCTCCCTGGTACTGGAATAGTGAAAATCGGTGTTGATTTCATTGTTTTGTTTATATTGGAACGCTTGCGATCATGTTGGAAAAGTGGGAACCTCTGCATCTGTCTCTTGTCTTGCTGAAGATGAAAACTTTGAGTAAGGATGGGTCACATCACACAATCATGACTTGGAATAGGTGAGGCTTACATGCTACCTCTCAATGATGAGCTGGCTAGTGAGTTGTATGGTGTCAAAGCAAATGAAGTTAAGCAGTTGCCATGTCTGTTACTCACTGTTAATTTTATATGTACTGTTCCTGATGCACAGCAACCTAGCACATGGAGATGCATGTTGAGCTTTGCTGTCAGTTAAGCAATGGTGGTCATGTATTGATCAACAAAAAACAGCCTAGAAATGGAAGAAAAGTGAACTGAGCTTTCTGATGCAGTTTAAGTGCAGTTGCCAAAAAAATACTTCTGTCACTGTTGTGGAAAGTAACTGTCTGTGATTGTGCAGTCTCTTAATGAATTATGCCTATCTTCTATTTTGAAGGAGGAGAGAGACTTAAAGTAGTGACTGTATCTTGCCTGTTAACTGGATGCTTAAAACTTGGTGAAAGGAATATGCTGTGTGGCTGTTCAGTGAAGCACACTGCAGCACTAAATTAACAAATGCTGTTTCTTTTTGAGGTGAAGGATTAGCAAATAGTGTTCAGTACTTAGTATTGTAATTGGAGGTTGAAAAACATTTTTTAACATGTACTAGATTGCTTTTGTGCATTCCACTTCTGAACTTTGAAAAATAAGATATGTTAGATATCAGAACCTCTATTGGTCTGAGGTTTCACAGGGACTTAATGCAAACTCATTGTCTTCCATAACTAGTTCAACTTGTCAGGCAACTCATTGGATTGGGGAAACTGTACTAAATAAAAGGTGCTGTAATTGTCATTCTTGTCAAGTTAAATTCCTTCTTTGTTAATGTTATCTTGTATGTGAAGAAAGAATGGTTAACCAATTCTGGAAATACTTATCTTTGAACAGTGTAATCAATTGGTATTACAAAGCCATCTTGACAATACAGTTTTGAAGCAGAGCCTGGGAGCCTGCTGGCTTACAGAAGTTGTTGTTTGAGCTGTTTCACCTATGTCTAAAGCCTAAGCACTTAAAGGGACACTTGGAGCTATAGCACTTTGCTAACAAAGTTTCCTCTTCAGCTTCCATGGATAAAGTCCATTTTTGAGTGCACATTGTATATACAGTAAATGAATGTCTGCTTCTGGAGGAAGGCAACTCATTTAGGTTTGGCTTTAGTTGAAACCTAAAGGTTAAGTCCTTAATTAACCTAAAGGATAAACAACAGTTGAGTTCACCATTACAAGCTTATCTAGGTCAAGCCCCTCTGAGGCGGATTGTAAAATGTGTCTAACAAAACTGAATAAGCTTTCCTTGCTATATGAATAATGGACTCAGCAAAGCTCACAATGAGCAGCTCAGCTGTATTGGCTCAAGAGACTTGTGTGCTTTGACCTTTGATCTTAGTCTTAAAGTACCTGACAGTATTTGATAGGACAGATGGACTTCTACTTGAAACAGTGAGGTGGCTGCTGCTGCAGTGATTCTTACAGTCCATGTGCTGTTCTCACTCAGGTTACCTTTTTTTTTTTTTTCCCCAGTTGATAAAGCTCCACCACTGAGGTGGACTTACTTGGAAGAAGGTGCTTGCTGTTCCATGGCTTGATATTGCATCTCTTCAGTGTTCTGTGCTTGTCACCTTTTCCCAGAAAGATCAGGCCTGGAGACTAAATACAGCAGCTTTTCAGCGTTCCTCTTCTGTGCTTGTGGCAAACTTCAGTTTAACTTTCCAGTTACAGCTGAAAACTTGATAGCAGAGGTAGCTGCCTTGTTTACTTCGTAACAGTGGGCAACAAGCATTCTGACTTGTACTGGGAAGGCAACAAAACTGCTCCCCAGACTGGAATCCTGTTGCCCCCAGCTCATGGTGGAAGTGCCTGAATGCATGCCTTTCTACATAGGGGCAATACAATTTGAGGGTCCTTGAGTGACTTCCAGGTGTGTTTCACTGGATGTCAATGGACTTCAGCATCAAGTGAGTTGACTACAGTGAATAAAAAAAAAAAAAGGCACAGAAGTACTTCCATTGGACTTGAGGGTGTCCTGTGAGTGGAGCGAAGGGAGCTTTGGCTTCTAATCTAAATGAGTTCTTGCAGATCAGGTACATCAAACAAGGAGGCCTTTGGCAAGAGGGTGGGTGTGTGGCTGCATGCTAGCTGTGCTGTGTAGCTGAGGCAACTGAACGCTGTATTTAAGGTGATGTATTGTAGCAGCATTTGCATGTTAGGTAATTGAAGAGCAAGACTTTTCTTCATCAGTGTAATGTGCTCTTACATCTTTCTGGAGCGTGGCTGTAGGCAAGTAACTGGATATTTGAAGCTGGAGGTCATGCAAGACTTGACTATGCACTTCCACTTAAGCATTCAAATATTTTTCTTGCATAATAGCTTAACAAAGTCAGGGAGCTGTTTACTGCTATATGCAATATTCCATATATGGCTTAGCTGCAGGTATTCAAGTGCTCCAGTCTTCTGAGCAAACATCTGAGACAAGCCTCCATTATAATGGGGGCTAAGCCATATGAAAAAAAAAAACAGATTAAACACCAGGACTGCAAAGGCAGACCTCTCTCCTTTTTAGAGGAATATCTCTCCAGATGAGAGTACAGATGCAGCATGAAGTGCATCTTCAAGGACTTGTGCCATACATGTTCTGTACAGACTAATATGCCTTTACTGCAATTTCAGGGCTAACTATTGGCTTGATGAAGAGAAAGATGTATGCATACACTTACTGGGCATTAAACTTCAATAAGATGTTAATAGCCATCTGAAGTTCTAGTTGAATCCTATCTGGCTAATACAATGTTCAAGAATGCTTTAGGTCTAAGGCAGAAAGCTACAATCTGAAACAGAGTAAGAGGTTGGGGGGGAGTGCATCTAACTAAATGCTCGCCAAGATCTTTTCTTAAGCTTTCCGAAGTGTTAACCCAGTACTTGGGGCTGACAGGCCTATCAATTCTTGCTCAAAAAGAAGATACTCTTTATTAATTCAACTTGGAGGTTATGTAGACTGAGGCTTTCTTTAATTGCTACAAGCATATGTTGCAATGTTCACCTCTTGTTGACTTTAGTTGGGAGAAGGAGGGAAGAGGAACAAAAAGCCATAATTTTCACTGTAATCTCCACACTTCATGGGAATGGCAGGTGTTCCTCTTGAGAGGAGAAGGTGTTATCTCCTAACACTGAGAAGGAGGTTTAGTGTAGAGGAAGTGATTGTGATGGCAAGATTTAATAAAACTGCCTCTAAACTATGTATGCTATACTATACAATGTAAATTCTCATTTTTTTCCCCCTTACGTATCTTCAGAGCTTTGTCTCTAACTTGCACAAACATTTTTAATGTCTATAAAACTGGTCACTTTTCATTATCATGCTAATACAACTGATTTGTATTACTATTGATAATAAAAAGAAAAACAGGCATAATATTTGTTTGTTATTGATTTCTACAGCATTCTAAAAGCATGTCTAATCCCCAAATTCTTGAACCAGGCAACTGCTGACTTTCAGTGTCTGGAACTAACCTTTGTATCAACTCTAACATGATTATATTACAGGCTGTGGGAAGGGAGGGGAGGAGGAGGTGGTGGCTGAAGACCCCATCATTGGTTTTCTGGAAATGCTTCTGAACTGGTACAATAGTTTGATTCATTCATTAGTTAATTTTCCACAACTTAATTGGATCAGACAGCTTGTATCTTGTATCAACTGTGTAAGTGACAGGGTTGCTTTCTTCTTCAGTCTTGTGGCTCAAATAACAGAATAAGCAAGACTTTGGAAATATTGATCCTTAGTTTTCTGAGTGTGCCAGACTCCATCCCCTGTGTTGGTTTGTGATGAACAAGCTGCCACGGAGAAGCTGATATGCCTCCAAGGCAGGATGGTTCAGGACAGACTCACTGCACTGTTATGCCCCTTAATTTGGAGTGGCATAGAAATGGGATTCACAGTAAACTTTGCGTGCTGCAGTTTCTGCTGCCACTGCTGTACAAGTTGGAAGAAGAACATCCCCTATCTGATGACTTCTGGCCAAGGATTACAGCAATTTACATAATCTTGTTTACATGGTGCCTGCCTGGTGTTTGTCCTGTATTTCAGATCGTCACGGTGGTTTACATAGCTCTCCTTTCCAGTGAAGACTTTTTTTTTTAATATTCTGCAGCAGAGAAAGGGTAGTGTGAAAAGTGTTGTGTAGGAGGCGGGAGAAGGTTCTGAGCACAGCTGTGTTACATGGCTGTACCCAAAGCCCAGAACGGTACCTCTTTCTTCGGGTATTCTGTGGATGTTTGTGAGGAACAGGCCTTTCTTAAGTTGCAGCAGGATGGAACTGGAGAAGGGTTGCACATACATAGCTTGGCTTCTGCCTCCATGCTCGCCTGTGTTCTGCCCCAACCAGAGCACTCGGCTAGTGTGGCTCTGTGTGCTAAATGCTTTGAGGATTCATGGCATGGTACAGGCACCTCTTCCTGAGAACTGTTGGCTCCATCTTGTGGCTTTAAGAGTTAGAAGCTCTACCATTGAGAGGGGCTGCTCAGCATGCTCAGGCGAG